TTAGAACTGGCTGTTCATCAACCCAAAGCCGGTTGGGTGGTCGGTTTGGTGTTTCAACCAGGTGGTTAGCCTGTTGACTCAATTAAAACCATAAAACAAACCCGGGGCTTGGTTGGTTTTCTGAATCATTGGTTCAAAATAAACATGGTTTGTTTGAAAGGAAACAAATGCATGGCCTRAACCACGATGGCAATGGAGCGGCCAAGTTCGGGGAGGGTTTTGTAAATTCTAGACTCTCCCTTCCACCTAAAACCTTCCACCCCATACCCTCCCCAAAATCCGTAGTGGGTTGGACTTTCAGAATCCAAACTCCCCGTACATGAAAATTCAAAACCCTCCCTAACCATACCCTATTAGTACCCATGTCGGATGTAAAATCCCAAAACCTACCCCCACCATATGATGCATTAGAAAAAACCTCATCGAGGCGGGTAAGGACGGGTACCTTCCAGGTAAGGTAGAAACTGCCATTTCTACCAACAAGTTATGTTCTACAATACCAAGGGCTATCCAATAACACGAGTCTTTATCCTTTTGATACCAAACATAGGAGAAGTAATTATTCAGAATTTGATAATAGGAGCTTGTGTTGTCCAACTATTTTTAGATGACATTTTTAGAAGTACCATCATCATCATCATCATCATCTAAGCTTTGTGCCAACTGTATGTGATCAACTACATAAATCCTCTTTTGCTATTCCATTTTGTTCAGCGTTATATCTATTATTGTTAAAGCATAGCACATTGCTTCCCAAAGATGCTTTAACATGAACATGAAAAGACAAATTAGGATCCATGACCATGAGAGTTTGGCTAAAGTTTTATTGCCAATTGCCAATTTGACATAACCCTCTTCATTTATCTAGGCTTGAGAGTTGAGACTGACAGAGTGGCAGTGTAAGACAATCTCATTGGAGAGTGATGATACACRATCTAGTGCTCCTTGCTGGTGGACATATCCGATGTCAGGCTGAGTAGGTCACTTGGTCGAGCTGYAAGAAAGAGATCAGAATGTTCGAGTTGCTTTACCTRGGGTGGGCACTCCAATGCTTAAGTTAACGAACTAGAGATGTGCTTGGTAAAATGCAAGAGAGTTKGAGTGCCTAAAAGCTAAATCGTGTGTACCTTTTGAGGTTGGAGGTGAGGCTCTTATATAGGCGGGCTGYCGTGAGCCTCACGAAATACATCCGRGATCTTTGGCCCAACTAATTTGGAGGTGGTTGCATGCCTGATGATGGACTCCATGTATACAGATAAGGCTTATCCAGTTGCACCAGAAGCAGGCAGGTGATACTCATCTCTTCCAACGTGGCATCGTGAGCCTAGAGAGGTCGGAGATAATAACCCGCTTAAGGAGGAGGTCACCCGACATGTCGCTAATTGAACTCAGGTTAGGTCAATAGAAGCGGCTCGCCTCTCATGCTGACTTGACATCTTGTCGGGCCAGGCTAGTTTGGTGGAAGCAAGTTGCCTCATACACCGACTTAAGGTCCCACCTAGCTATTTGCAGTTTGGTCTGYTGGGATAACCCTGAGGTCACTGATGTAGTTGTGAAGTGTCCAAATAGTCTGCTTACGTGGTGTCAAGGTGTCTACTAGCTGTTCTACGATGCCACGTGTAATGATGTCATTGGAGGACTAAATAACCCCTCGTTAGAGAGTAATATTTTTGAAAGCAAACAAACCCAAAGTACGGATACACTATGACTGGATATGTATCCTATGAGTCGTGCATATCGGTACGAGACACCTCCGTATTGGGTCGTACCGCACCATACCGATGGATGCAGTCCGATACACATCGATATGGAGGTGTATTCGTGTCTAGTTTGACAAAATTCTACATTAATTACTTTTGGATTGTTTTTCATCTTTAATACAAGTTAAAAATAGTATTATGAAAATTAAAATAAATAATTTAAGACTTAATTTTCCCAAAAAATTAAATAAAAGCTAAAAATTATAACAATAATATATTTCATCTATCTTAAATGATTTTTATATTTTATTTTACACATAATTATATGTTAAAAATGAAATATAGTTATTATTTGAAAAAATAGAGTTATTATATAAAAATACTAAATAAATAAATTTTCCCAACAAAATTAATGGAAAACAGAAAACTATAATTATAAAAACTAAAACGAATAATTTAAGATTTAATTTTCCCAGAAAATTTAATAAAAACTGAAAATTAAATATAATTTATTTTATCTACCTTAAATGTTTTATTTGTTTTATTTTACAATTATGTGTAAAATAAAAATACTATATGTTAAAAATGAAAACATATTTATTATTTAAAAAAGGTTGTTATTTAGATAAAATACCAAATTAATAAATATTTTAAAAAATTAATAAAAATTGAAAGAGTGATAATTATTGTACATTGTTTGAATGTTCTAGAGTCCCAGTATTGTTTATTGTAATATTTCTCTTCATATAACCTATTGAAGTATGCATTTCCCATGTGTTTATATCTTATTCATAGATAATTCAACTTTTGGTATAATTTGATGAATGAATTTATGTGATTTGTATGCATTTTACTAGCGTATCTAAGCGTTTCTATATCTTTCATTCATGTCCATGCGTTTCCAAAATATATCCGTATCCAAATTACCCGATACAATACCCRATACCGATACTTTGATACTTAATTATAACATTACAATGAGTAAAAATGAGACAAAAGAAATTATACTTCTATGARCTAAATCCTTCCTAATTAAGAAACAACATGCCAATGCAATTATTTCTATGATTTATCTATCAGTTATAACTTTATTATCTATTATACTTTAAATATCTTTTTTATGATATTTAAAAATTTATATGTATCATGTAGTTATTTACTTTTTTTGTTTCAATTTTTGGCCAAAATATACATAACTTTCAATAAATGTAAGTGTGAAATCTACTCAAATTGTTTTCATTAATCTAAAGTGAAATCAAAATTTCATCTTTTTTTTTTTTGTAAAATTTTGAAGAATTAAAAACTATAGCATTAAAAACAAGATATAAAAACTTATAATATAACAAAGGACTATGACTCCATTCGGTACAAAGAGATAGACTAACAACCAGTCAAAAGAGAGTGATGGATGGGTAGATAATCCCTTATCAATAAGGCCTACCAACTTACGAGCCGGGTATGTTTTTCTATGCAACTTTTCTAGGAATAAATGAT